GTAATAATTATATTGTTAAATTTTTTAAAGTTTCAGCAAAGTGATATTGATATTATGAAAATGGTTGAATTCTTTTGAAAGGGAGGGAGGGTTGGTCGCAAATTGTGGTCTGTTGTAGTTGAATAAGCAATCGTTAACATAAGACCCAAAAAATAATTTTTTTTCAAAAAAAAATTGAAAAAGCTAATTTTTAGCAAATTAAAAGTTTGAAGACCATCAACCTAATTATGTTAATGTAGGCTAACTATCTAGACATATCACAGCACTTTTGGTAGGCCCTAGATAATTTCTATAAAAATCTTGCCCATTATCCAGCTTATAGTTTCTAGTTATATAAATACTAGGACGGCTAAAAATTTCTCAAAAATCAAATTGATGAGTAGTCAAAACAAACAAAACTTATCAATTCAATTATTAACAATTTTTAAGTGCTTAGAATTTATGAAAACAGCTTAAACTCAAATTATTGTGGGAATCGTCTATATACTAACTAGAGCCACTTGACTTGAGATGTTTAACCAGATTTGAAATCAAATATAAATCAAGAATATATTATTACTAGAATAATTCAGTCAATAAAATAAAGTTGAACTGATTTACCATCCTTATGCTGAACTGCATAGAAATTTTCCATAGTTTTTGGCCAAATTATGTTGTTAAAATTATATTAATATTGGCTGGATTTAAATAATTAAAATTAAAACCTTTAATAAAATCTAATAACTGGCATATAACCTATCGAAGAAGGTAACCAAATATAACCTCTATAAAAAAATAAGTAGCCATGTAGTTTATTTTTTAAATTATAAAAATTTGATATAAACTTCTACAAAAGTATTTGCATTATTTTATATAACTATATTATAATAACGATTATACAATTAGGTAATTTTTTATACAATAGAATCTAATTCAGAGCATTCAATCAGGTCTTATAAAGAAATTCAATTGCACAGCAATTAGTGATTCCTCTTACTTTCCCAACAATTATTTCATCAACAGCTCATTTAGTTGACATCATGTCAAGCAAACCTCTAATATATGATACCAACTAAATCTAAATAATTAGTAAAGCAAAAAATCTTCATATTTGTTTAGCATATTAAGTAAATGTAACTAGTTACAAATAAATTTTCTATTTGAAAATATTTGTGCAATAAATCAAATATAAATATTAGAATATTCTAAGAGAAAATAAGACTATACTGTATAAGTTTTATATAATTGAAACTTGTTTTTCCTTGACGTTCATTCATGTATTAGTATGAATTGTATTTTAAGTTAACTATAAGCTAACTGGATTATAAATATTCATTAATAATCTTTTAATTCTGTTATCTGGGTAGGCTAGTGGTTAGCTAGTTATCATAATTTAGGTACAGCTATTATACCATAAATGGCCATATATAGGATCCTCCTAAATAGTAAACTATTAGGTACTAGGTATGTGTACAGATCTTAGGATCTTCTTAATTGAAATTCAAATATCTAGATTGCATATTACAAATGCAAAGTGTGTATGTATTTCAAATTTTTACTTTCAATAATACAACTCTCAGCCATGTACTAAACCTGGGTCTAACCCGGGTCTTTATATGGCTATTTACAGTACTATTAAATCAAATCCTAACTATTAAACTGATTAATTGTATTTAATTAATAAATATTATCTAGTCAGTTATTAATAACAATGTATTTGAAATTGTGATTTTTCTAAAAAATTGCTACTACTCAGCTAATATTGTAAATTTTATGAAATAAGTAAATATTACATGCAATTATAGTGCAAATATTAATTTGCAAAATTGAAATATATAAGTAGCAAGATTGGATATTTTGTGTATTTTGTACCATATTCATGTTATACGGTAATTCATAAAATAAATTTACGTTCCTGGTTTTGTGTAACAGCATTATGTAGCTACCTTATTGACTAAATATGTAAATGCAACAATAATTGTTTAGAGTATAGCGTTGGACATTTAATTTTAGCCAAATACAAAATTTACAACAATAATTACATTTTTAATCATTTTTTATTAATTAATTAGTTGTCTATCAAAAACATAATTTTGAAAAAATTTCACATTCATCTGCATGCAGATTTGTATTTAGTGTTACAAAAAACCTAAATCACTATACAAAGTTTTATACACAGGAGTTTTTTTAATATTTCTTGTTAAGGTTTATTGGTTGACAAGAGTGTTCTTTCATAAATTTTTGTACAAACTAATCATACCAAGCATTTATATACAGTACATACTGACAAAATTTTAATAATCTTGCTGTACCGAGTAAGGATGTTATCAAGCACTTCACTCAATAAATCAGAAGTTAAATTTTAATTAATTAGAAATTAAATAAATTAACCAAATGGGTTACTATCATGGCTTATTTTGGACTACTGTATACTTCTTGGTCTTTGCTATCAGTCTTTACTCAATTGGCTAATTTGTTCAAATGACCATATATCTTACAGGTTCTTCTGCTGACAATAATATGTGCATATAGGTAATAGTTTATTCACAAGAATCAAGATTATTACAAGTACGAAACTTAGACACTTCCCCAATTTAGATCGATGCTTTATATTAATTACTAATCGCTATTTTGCATCAATGTTATTACATACTTTCTCACACTCATGCAATCTTACTACATTGTTTATGCAATTATTATTTTAACCTTTTAATTAATTCAATGCAACTCTGAATTATGCTATTCATACAAATCTCAATCATGACTCAATAATGATTTCTAACTCTTGCACTTGAATTCCCGGGACACCAAAGTCAATCGCGACAGTTACAATTTCAATAAAAAAATTTGCAAGACACAAACCACCTTTTTTCTTCAAAATTTACCATTGATAAAAGTCACTCAAGCATTACTTTTACATCTTTTACATATTAAGTATAATAAACAATTAATTCTCAACAAATTTCTAACTAGTCTAAAAAGATAGCCACTTTATTTTTAATATTCGAAGCTTTTAAAACAAATAATCAATAAATTAATATAAATACAATAATCTTTTAATATTTAACCAAACCATAATAAATACAGTCAAATCTATATAAATGCAATGTGTACAGACTAGCTTCAATCATGCATTTAGGGAGGTTTGCATTTAGAGAAAGTTAATCAAATTGCAGCTTTTAATGTTTGATCTGCAGGCTTGTATAACACAACTTGAATACTGAATTCTGATTTGCTATGTGCATTTAGAGAGGTTAGTATGATATAGAAAATCTTTTGGGTGAATGTGCATTTGCAGAATATAGAATGTGCATTTAGCACTAATGATTTCTTACAGCCAGGCCAGAAACATGCATTTAGAGAGGTATTGCATTTATAGAGGTTGCATTTATGGTGATTTGACTGTACTATTTTTTATTTTTTGCTTATTTAAATTTAAAATATTAGTAAAGAAAACCTAAAACTAAAAGGTTTGGGTAATGTTTTTCTATATTTGATGGATAGTAAAGAAATTTAAATTGTTAAAATAATTAAAAGGAGGAGCCAATGTAACTAAAGTTGAAACTTTAACTGTTGATTGTAAAGAATTTTTTTCACTAGATTTTTTAGGTAGTAAGCAAACATTATGAAAAACAGAAAAAGTATGCTCAAGCATTTAATTCTATAAATATCATTATCAATTGTGATGCTTGATCATCATCATGATTATTGTCTGATCAATTAATTTAGATGCTTGAGAACAGCCTAAGTTGATGTTCTAAAAATCTGTAGAAATATATAAGTGTCACCAAGAGAAAACCTACAAGTAGTGCTTTTTGTATATTTACTTTAATAAAAATATCTTAAAATCAGAAAATCTAATGCCTATAATTTTAATATCTTTTAAATTATTTTAATGAAACAACTCAAATAATATTAAGAACAGTAGATTAAATTGCCTGATTTTTGATATATTTATTAAAAGTTAATATTCAAAAATTGTGACTTGTAGTTTTCCCTTTGGTGGGACTTATATGTTGTATATAGTGAAATTTTTACGTATAACCAATCATGCAGAAATTATTAGCTTTGGATGCTATCAAGCATCTCACTTAATGAATTAGAGATAAATTTTTTAATTAGAATTTTCTCAAGTACTTTACTCAATGGATCGGAGGCAAATTTTTTATAATCAGAAATTGAATAATTTAACCAAGGGCGTTCTCAAGCACCCACCTCAATGAATTCAATAAAAAATATGATTGGCTAATTTGATTAAGGTGTTCTCAAGCACCTACCTCAATGTAGTGATATGATCCGTTCAAATCCGGATTATCCGGATTACACAAAGTCAAATCCTTATTTGTATGAATTGATCTACAATCTGCATATTCATTAATCGGATTTTGAATAGATTGAATGGATGATCTGCAATCTTCAGTTAATTTAATAGTGATTTTTTACAGATTTAAAAACTGTTATTAATGAACTTAAAGGCTATTGTATATTATTAAAAGCTCTGATACGAATATTGTTGATAAATTAATCAATATCAGCTACTTTTATTGTTATGAAATTGGGGGTATTAACACAGACGAACATGTAATATCTATTTATTTTCACAAATTTGCAGACATGAAAATACTAAAGGAATAATAACCGATTTGGTGTTGAAAAAGGATAAGCATAAAGCTTTATTTTTATTTTGATAGAATTAGAGTCAAGGTTAGTATAAGACATTTATTTTATAAATGCAAATATATGCTTCTTGTTATATAAATTTGCTTGCTGGAACAACTTCAGGAAGTTTATAAGGCTTCTTCTATTATTCGTCTACATAATTACTGCGGGATACCTTCGTAAGTCCCCCTTTATTTTATTTATTTATTTATTTTTTGCCATGATTGCCTAAATTCTCTCTTAAATAGAAGTTCTAACTCTATCTTTATTAGCACTTCGGGTTTCAATAAGACCATTAATTATGTACAACTTCATTATCATAAGAGATATCAATCATCTATTAGATTCTATTAACCTTAATTTTACTGCATTATTGTTACAAAAGGTGAGCTGTTATCAATATCCTTACACTTTACCATTTTCATATTATTGGCTCTTTCTTTAGTATGTTGCTTTAGGCTTTGTAATCCTTGATTCATGCAACCTTATCTATCTAGGCATCACACATTTTAGTTCACGTTCCTTCACTAACTTTACACCTTTGATACTTACTCCTATTCCATTCAATTCATGTCTGATGTGGCTTTTAACTTCATCATCTCTTTCGTGGTATCGTATAGATGAAATTTTCAGGCAACCCTTATGGGCTTCAGAATCGTTTTTTCCAGCCCTTATTCCATTTTTATTACAGTACTCAGAGTTATAAGTCCAAACAAGATGATCCATGTTTGGGCAGCAAATGTTAACTTATTTTTATTCTTGAAAATGGCTATGTCATTTTGGTAACAACGGTCAAGACCCCACATTGCATCAGAATGACCTGTATCCACAGCTTTTGATGATCAATGAATGCCTTGGGTTCATACTTTTAATTCTAATCCTGTTTTAGTAGCAATTACCAAGACTAGTATGTCCTACTTTTGTTGATTTTTAATCATTAGTGAATACCTGTCTTTTCATTATATGACTTATTCTCTTCAAACACCACTGTATCATTACTACCTTCATTACTCAGTGCCAAGATTGTTTCATTTTCATAACTTACTACCTTCAACCAACTATCATCTTTGCTGATTTTTGCTAATTACTCTTTTTGTTTTAACACTTACTACCTTCAATCAATTATCACCGATTTTTTCTGATTATGCTTTTTGTTTTAATAATGATGATCAAGATCACATGCTTTATCAACACAACTTATCTTCTCAGGCCTTTACAGCTGTTTTCATAAATTCTGGGACACCTAAAAAAATTTGCTGATGATAATTTCGGCCAAATTTGATAAGTTATTGATTTCGGTATGAACTGTATAATAAAAGAATTATTAATAACAGCTATTTTTGTATTATAATGATCATTTTACAATGTCATAATGTTAACGATTTTAAATTTTCATTTGAATACTTGTTCAAAATGTTTGGTCAAAACATGTTGAATAAGCATTCAAATGAAAATTTAAAATTGTTGACATTATGACATCATAAAATGATTATTATAATACAAAAATAGCTATTATTAATAATTATTTTATTATACAGTTCATACCGAAATCAATAACTTATCGAATTCGGCCAAAATTATTATCAGCAAATTTTTTTAGTTGTCTAGAATTTATGAAAACAGCTGTAATAGCCATCGTATACCTTTTGTTCTTTCTTTTTAACACCAATTTCATTCCAGTAACAATGCCAGAAAAATAGGTACCAGTATTTTATCATTAGGTTTTTATTCTCCTGTTTTCGCAACTCCTTTGCTGAGGTCTTCTGGACTTTATCACTTAGGTCAGCCTTTACTGACAAATCGTTGGGCTCTGTCTTTTTTCTCCTCACCTTTATTCTTGTTCACATGACCGCTCGTTGTACTTCGGGGCCAATTTTAGATAAAATAAGCGACATATTTATTTAAAAGAAGCAATGTACAATCCTATTTTTTTTAATGTATTTATTTACATAATGTTTACTTATCAAAAAAAGCCAATATTATTACCGGCTACGCCTATTTAATTTTCTGATTCAGAATTCTAAAAAAGGAAAATAGGATCTTTTAAACTCATACTTATTTTTGAAAAAAGTTAATTCAGAAGCCCTTTAATACTTGTATAATATAAAACAAAATAAATATATAAGTGTTTTTTATTGTTATTTGATTATTTATCTTATATGAAATAGAATAAAATCGAAAATTTTTAATTTCATAATTTGTTGATGGCAGATGAATACTATCTAAAAAATTAAAATTTTTTTTCAGAAATACTAATCTTTTAAAAAATTCTGGGCCCATGCAAGTTCTTTTAGAACCCATAATGTTTCCACAATCCGAAAATAACCTCTCTGATGGTGTTGATGTAGCTAAAACAGCAAGATATATATACATGCTAATTCACTCATTACAGGAAAGCTTTCCTTGTGCCCTTTCTACCAAGCAAATAGATCTGAATTGAAAGGTATTTGTGAGATCACAAGATATTCATCAAATTTGCTCTGTGAATTAACAATTGGTAGATTATAAAAAGTGTAGGTTTATAAAAAGTAGTTAATATAGAATTAGATGAACTTGTATTTGTTAGATTTTGTGTTGAAGCCGTAGTTGAAGTTGTTAAATTATTTTAATTTCATGATATTTAGTTTTTAATAACCTTTAAACCTCAGCTATCTTATCAGATGCAAATTCTATTTTTTTAGCACGTGGATCAAGGATTGAGAATAAATATGATTCATTATCCCGTTTCCAGTAAAAAAGTATTGCATGATAGAGTGTTTCTTTTACTCTTTCTAATATATTTGAAGTTTGTATAGGTTTATCTAAATTTATTTTTTTTTGTGTATCTTCTTCGATTTCTACAAAAATATCCTCTATTTTTTTTTGTGTATCTTCTTCGATTTCTACAAAAATATCCTCTATTTTTTCAATATTTATTTCATTTGTTGATGATACAGGTTTAATCATCTTAATAATTTGAGATATTAAAGGATTCTTTATACTGTAAGTAGCATAGTTACTACCACTGAGATATCTGGTTATTTCCTCAAAGGGACCTAAAACAGGAATCAGATCACGAAGCAAATCCTATTCATCATTTGTTAACATTATTTTAGTTAATTGTTGAAAATCCTTTTTGCTATCTCAATTGCTGTCTTCAGCTAAATTAGCTTCAAGTATACGAATATATCCTTTTAATTCTAAAAGTCTACACCAGGCTAAATAGCTAGAATTCCAGCGAGTTGATATATCAGCTATTTCATGTTTCAAATATGTTGATGTTTTACCAGCATCCTAAATTAAAAATATTCGAATAAATACCAATTTAATATTATTAATAAAAAATTTAAATAAAAAAAACGTACAATAGGGAGTTCCTTTAAAAAATAAATAATATAAATAAATAAAATAAATAAAATAAGAGAACAAATATTTTCACACACTTGTAAAATATAAATTAGTATTATTATGCAAACTCATAATTATAAGCATAACAATTTCGAATTAAAACTTAGTTAGCTAATAATATATATACATGATAAAAGTGTATGTAAAATATCAAAACTAGATATGAAAATACTTATTCTCTAAAATTAATAGATATAAAAAAAATTGTAAACCTCATTTGGTTTTGAATAATGCTTTTGAATATCTTCTAATCATTCAGACTGTTTGGGTCTTAAAAAAAAAATCAATAAGGTGTTTTGCCTGACCTATTAAAACTTCAACAGGTTTTAATTCTTTTCCAATTACCAATTGCAAAGTAAGTGCTATACATAGTTGCTAAGTTATATTTTCTGCTGAATATTTTAATTCCTTAATAGCTTTTTGCATATTTTGACCATTATCAGTTGTTATTATAAACACCTTAACACATAACTCTAATTCATCTAATAATGCAAGAATGCTATCACCAATATTTTCAGCAGTATGTGGATAGCAAATATATTCGACAGAAAGTATAATTTCATGAAATTGAAAATTACTATCTAAGTATGAACAAGTTATGTCTAAATAACCTTGTCTATTTCTTCTGGTCCAGAGATCACACATTAAAGATACTGATGTTGCTTCTTTTTTAACTTTTCAATTATTAATGGGAAAGAATAATTATATGCAATATGAATAAGCTTTTTAATATATTTAGCATTCAGAATTTGAAAATTAGAATTTAATTCTGTTATAAATTTTCTAAAGGCTTTATTTTAAAGAATCGTAAGTGGTTGAAAATCACTTATAATCCAATCCACAAGGTATTGACACAATTTAAGTTGTCGTGATTCATTATGAGGTGTATTGGAAGAAACTATATTAACATTTCCTTGTTCTTCGGTTATACCATGAATGTTATTAAGATGAGTAGAACAATTACTAGTAGATGTACTGATTCTGTATTTCATACCACATTTTATTCTATTTACTTTCATAACTTGACAAATAGCAAATCTTATACCTTCCTCATATTCTGCTTTAAAATAAAGCCAGATCCAGCTTCTAACAGCACTACCTCCATGTGTATCATTCATTATATTTAGTTTTTTTAGATGATACTTTATTAGATGATACTTTATTATATGATATTTCATTAGATAAGACTTTGTTAAATGATGTTTCATTAGTTGATGCTTCAATATTTTCTTTATTGTGAAGCAACATCTTATTAAACAGTGTAATAGACAGAAATAGAAGTACTATATTTAAAGTATATGAAGAAGTAACAAGAAATATAAATTAGAAGCTTTTGAAAATTTAAAAATATGCAAATATGATTTCTGTTATTAATATGTTACCCAAATTTTAATAATTCAAATTTATATTCTTTTTTTTATTTGATTATTCTCATGCTAATTTCTTTTATTCTATTTCGTGTGAATTCGAATTTCTTAGAATTTTTATGCATTCTAATACACACTGGTCGAAATTTTTTTATATGATAGGATGATATGAAGGCAATATATAAAAAAACAACCAACCAAAAATCAGCTATAAGATATAAAACTGGTCGATAAAATCTTACAAATATCGGCCT